CTTTTTTTTTTTTTTTTTTTTTTTGTCCTAGCATGTCTGACGTTGATCATAAGTGTTTCATTAATTTATCATATTCTCAGATGTTGAAAAATTACTTTCTGTAGTTTTCAGAACTCTTTGTCTAATAACTCTTAATGAGTCAATGTAAATGTTCATTTTATTATTTCACAACACGTTTTTTTTTTCTTTTCTTTTTTTTTGGTGTGTACAACCCATGTCTTGCAAAATGATTTGATTTGAGTTTCATCGCCGCTTGAGTGTTTGTAAGTTAAGAAAAACAACTGGTGCCATTTGAACCCTCTCATTCATCCGTTCTCATCATGGCGACTCTAAAGCTTCTCACATGGTTGAAAAGAGGCTGATTTATCGAACTGATGAGCCCAGAGCGTGTCCTCTGTGATGAGAGCTTGAGGTAACTCATACTGGGGATCTGACACAGCCTGCCCACCTCCAGACATGTATTTCCTTTGATCAGAGTGCCGTTCTGATGTTTCAGTGATGAAAAGCTCGCATTTATTCTCCCGTCACACTGCAGTGATCTGTTTTATTAGCTCATGGACAGAGTAGACCTGATTTTATTTTTTTTTTTTACTATTACAGGCTTTGCTTTCCTACTGGGCCCAAAGAAACAGGCAACTTGGAATCACTGCTGGGGAATCATTTGAAATCATTCATTTTTAAACAATTTCCACTAGTTTGGAATAGTTTCAAATTGCTGAAATGAGGTTCATCCACCCAGTTTGAGTGCTGTTAATGTATCCCTCCAGTGCTCATCAAAAAACAGTATGGAGGCCAGTAATGTCCCCTACAGATCAGTATGATTAAACTCCCACTCTTTAGATCCATATAAAGGTTGTGAAGTTGCCTTGAGAAGCGTGAGTCCCTGTGTATCTTTCCTTCCTTGCCATCTTGATGTACCCATCTGTGACCAACACCCCAAAGTGACTGTACTGACCCTGACCTAATCTAAGCTGGAGCTGAACAAAGCAAGGTACTGAGAAAACATAGGCAAACCCAAAGACTCATTTGATTTTCACATTGCTGTGTATTCCTTTGGCCACATTTGAGGGGTTTTTTTTAAGTTTAAATGTTAGTTGTTAGTTTTATTGTTTTTGAGGAGACATCTGACCTTTGCATCCAATTACTTATTCATGTATGGGAAAAATCTATATAGAATTATATATAAATGTATATTCACAAATGTTTTAAAACTTGCCTTAAAAGTGCCTACAATTTGGAAACGTGTAAATGTCTGTCGTTTAGACACGAAGTGTACGCCAGAATGGCTAGAGTGATCGGTATTGTGTTAGAACAGCAGACGGAAATGGTAACTTTTTTTTTTTTTTTTAGTTTTACAAAAAGAAATTTTTTTTTTTTTGTACAAAAAGCAGACAGTATTGTACCTATAAGTTAAAACAACACTACTGAATAAACATTAAACATTAAATATGATGGTTTTCTTTTTTTATCTGTTAGTCTGTCTGTACAGCCATCCATTCATCTATTTGTCATTGTCCAACTTGTTTTGTCTGTCTGTCTGTCTACTGTTTGTCTGTCATTCTATCTGTTCTGTCTGTCTGTCGGTCGTTTGTTCTATCTGTCTTTCTATCTATCTGTCACTCATTCTATCTATCTGTCAGTTGTCCTGTTTATCTATCGTTCTCTGTCTGTTGTTTTGTCTGTCATTCTGTCTATTGTTCTATTTGTCTTTCTGTCGGGTGTCATTCTGTCTCTGTTTTCCTATCTCTGTCATTCTAGCTATTGTTATATGTCTGTCTATCGGCCGTTCTATCTATCTGTCTGTCATTCTATGTACAGTTCTGCCTGATCCTTCTGTCATTCTATCTATTTTATCTGTCTGTCTGTCCATCCATTGATCTAATTATCTCAGTGTGTTGAAAGCAATCAATTGGAGTGGCATGTATGAATAAATGTGTGTCCAGAATCTCTTTCAGGTACTGTAAATGGGGAACTGAAGGGATTTCTGTTGAGAGTGTTTACACATGGGCTCAGTAGTGCAGATTACCTCTGTATTTATTCATCTTTATTGGTTCTCCACTGGGTTTACTGTAACACTGCTTGATCGCAGTGCTTCTCTTATTAAGATCAGTGTCATGGTCTGGTGGAATATAAGTTACTGACACTGGAAATATTAATCTGAATATTACTCTATAAGATCATGGTAGTATTTGGATTCATAGCACCAAATTGCTATATCTTTTTTTATTATTATTTTCTGTAAGGGTATTGTTGTGCAAGTATAATCCTCCAGAGAGAAACTCTGAATGAAAAATAGAGTAATGCTCCTGCACTCTCCATTCTCTGTGTTTGCTTTCAGTGATGTTGTTTTCGCATATAATCGAGGGGTCAAGCCTGGCCTTAGCCTTTGCAAATGTACATGGCTTACTCTCTAGACCGTGATGTGTAGCATCTGCCTCTGAGCCAGTCTCATCAAAACATTTCGGCCTTCTTTCTCATCCATTCAGCTGTCCTGATTATGAGTCCTGAATTTATGGCTCCCTGATCAGTGCCCAGTGTTTGTTTATGTCCATGTCGCAGTGTCCCTTTAATTTATAGGGGCTTTCTCAATAGGGGCAGGGAGAGGGGAAGGAGAAAAGGGGAGCGCATATGGAGCACAAAAGGCCACCGGGGCTTCTCTTTGAGAAACGGGGCTGATTCAGTAAAGAGGCCAACCATGGATGCCAAACCATGCAGAAACTTCAAGGAAATGCCTTCCAAAGTAAACATACTTTCAGGCTTCATAAGAGCTTATGTCCGAAGGGCAAAAGAAAGGGCTTAAATCCATGAGTCAAAAGCTGGTGTACCTCAAAAGTACAGCTTCTTTTGATTAAGGGTTTACATTCCAATGCCATAATGTTGAGGCTTTATTCTTTTGTAGACTATATAAACAAAAGTGCCCTTGAGTGTATATTTTGGAGACAGGTGTGGTTTCTCGGGACATGTTTCAGTGAAATCGGTCAAGTAGTAGGACATGTGGCATTCAATTGCTTAGAGTATAATTCATTTTGCTAAAAATGCAGAATTAAATGGCATGATGATAGATGACCAGCTTGTTTTCATTCCTTGTCATGAGTGGAATTGGAAAGTAAGTTTATGACAAGAATGGTTGGTTTTTCAACACTCTTGTTAAAACTTACTTTCCTGGTCTCAGTACAATGGTCACTTACCAAAGTAAAAGAAAAAAAATATATACAGTATAACTATCACACATCACATAATTGTGATCTTCATTTGAACCGTCTCAATATCAGTGATTAAAATCCCATGACCAAGATTGATCTTTTACTCAATGCCAGTGTTTCCTGCTCCTCCTTTCAATCTACAGCCACACGACAAAAAAGTCATATTTTAACAGCTTTCATTGATATGATAAAAATAGACGTGTAACAGATAATTATCAAGAACGTGTTGAGTTTAGGGTTGGGCGATGTCTATATAGTGAAATATCGCGACGGACCAGTGTGGGTTCTAGCTTGTATGCGCCCTGAGCGAACCACCTGCCACCTCTAAATTAAATAAATTTTACATAAATTTTGCTATTTTATATAAATGTATACATTTAGGTTATTACAAATTCAGACAAATAAATACAAAAAATACAATAAATCCCTCCAAAACTGCAATTGTATAGTAAAAATAAAGTGAGTGACGTTACATTTGTTTAAAAAAAAACGACATTGTTACAATATCATATTTTACTGTCTGATTATGTAAGCTAGTTGGACAGAAAAAGGATTGTTGTTGGCCTACGTGTTGTAATAACAACATTGTACAAAAAGCAGACAGTATTGTACCTATAAGTTAAAACAACACTACTGAATAAACATTGTGGCCTAAATATGATGGTTTTCTTTTTTTATCTGTTAGTCTGTCTGTACAGCCATCCATTCATCTATTTGTCATTGTCCAACTTGTTTTGTCTGTCTGTCTGTCTACTGTTTGTCTGTCATTCTATCTGTTCTGTCTGTCTGTCGGTCGTTTGTTCTATCTGTCTTTCTATCTATCTGTCACTCATTCTATCTATCTGTCAGTTGTCCTGTTTATCTATCGTTCTCTGTCTGTTGTTTTGTCTGTCATTCTGTCTATTGTTCTATTTGTCTTTCTGTCGGGTGTCATTCTGTCTCTGTTTTCCTATCTCTGTCATTCTAGCTATTGTTATATGTCTGTCTATCGGCCGTTCTATCTATCTGTCTGTCATTCTATGTACAGTTCTGCCTGATCCTTCTGTCATTCTATCTATTTTATCTGTCTGTCTGTCCATCCATTGATCTAATTATCTCAGTGTGTTGAAAGCAATCAATTGGAGTGGCATGTATGAATAAATGTGTGTCCAGAATCTCTTTCAGGTACTGTAAATGGGGAACTGAAGGGATTTCTGTTGAGAGTGTTTACACATGGGCTCAGTAGTGCAGATTACCTCTGTATTTATTCATCTTTATTGGTTCTCCACTGGGTTTACTGTAACACTGCTTGATCGCAGTGCTTCTCTTATTAAGATCAGTGTCATGGTCTGGTGGAATATAAGTTACTGACACTGGAAATATTAATCTGAATATTACTCTATAAGATCATGGTAGTATTTGGATTCATAGCACCAAATTGCTATATCTTTTT